TGGAAAAGTACTACACAATAATGTTATTGTCAGCTAAGCAAATATATTGAACAGACTTAGACAAAATACTTTGCAAGTGGTGGTTTTTTTTAAGAGTTTATGATCAAACTAATTTGAATGTATACAAACTTCTAACAAATAAAACATAAAATGTGTCAATGTTAACAGAGGCTCAGAATCACTTATTTTTCATTTAAAATTCCAAGAAGTAAGAGAAACCCTATCCACTCGAATTAAAGACATCCTTGGATGCCACAAATCTACATTTGAATAATATTAAAACTTCTCACAATTTATATGGCAATATATCTCATACTTTTTTTTTTTGCCATGCTTTTCTGGTAGGCATCACACACCAAAGAAAGATTTTTGAGAAGCTTGATAGTTTATAAATGACTTTTGAGGAAAAAAAAAGTTGGAAAAAAAGTTGACAGCAATGAGAAACTTGAAAAGAAAATTAAATTTTAAAAAATGGGGTAGGATGCTGCAGTTGTGTTTCCTTGAACAATCAAAATTTATGAAGTGATGTAATCCTTAGCCAATAGATCTTTAAATATCTTGGAGACAGAAGAACCTAGAGATGTAATATAAAAAATATTTTACTTATCTTCATTTCTCATTAGTAATTTAAATAGCTTAGAAATTCATTGATTCAAAAATCTTCATTTTTTGATTGGCTTCCCTCCAGGATAGAGTAACAGAAACCAGATTTATCCTCCCCACTGAAACAGCCAAAGAACTTGACAAAAATATTGAAACAATGGTATTGAGAACACTAGACCACATCAGGTAACGAAGAACAGTGATCCCTGAGTGAGAGAACTCAAACAAGGTTCGCTCTATGACTGCCCTATACAGAATTTATAGATTATGAAGAAAGCAGAACAAAGGTAGGGCCTCCTAGAAAATCTGGGTTGAAGAGAGAGACCTGAGAGTCCAAGGCAGCTGAGTATGTAGGGTAGAAAGCCAGCAAAGAAAGAACTGGAGAGAAAGAGACATCTGCAGAGGAAGCCCCTGAAGTTCTCAGCAAAATCCTGATTGGGACTCGAATGAAAGAAAACTACCTAAGGCTGGGAAAGACCCAGAGGGATGCATTTAAGGGAACAGTGTCCAGCTAACACAGGACTTGGAAAAATCTTATTATTCATGGGGCATTGGGTAGAGAACTCAGAAGACTTTTGCTTCAGTACTGAGAAACAATCAGCCCAAAATCAAAGACTATTCTAATCTCACCTAAAAAAATCTTTACAGCAAGTACAAAAATTATCAAAACTTTTCTGAGTATTAATAACTAAACTACATCCACAGGGCTTTCCCTGGTGGCTCAGTGGTTAAGAATCCACCTGCAAATGCAGGGGACAAGGGTTCGATCCCTGATCCAGGAAGATCCCACATGCTGCGGAGCAACTAAGCTCCTTGGCCACAGCTACTGAATCAGTTTGCCTGAAGCCTGTGCTCCGCAACAAGAGGAGTTAGAGCAATGAGCAGCCCGCACACTGCTTACAACTAGAGTAGGCCCTGCTCTCCCCAATTAGGGAAAGCCCGCATACAGCAAAAAAAAAAAAAACACAGCAGAGCCAAAAATAAAGTAAATCTTGGGGGAAAAAAAAAAGCTACATCCACAAATAAACTCCAAAATAAATACCAAAAAAAAAAAAAAATCCAGCACCTATCAAGGTAAAATTGACAATGTCTGACACCCAGTCAGACTACCAGACATGTAAGGAAGCAAGAAAACAATGACTTGTAAAGATGAGAAAACATCAATCAACCAAAACCAACCAAAAACTGGCACAGATGATATCATTAGCAGAAATTAGTTATTATAACTGGATTTAATATGCTCAAAACATGAACTTAAGATATGAAAAGTATTTTGTAAAAAGACTCAAACTGAACTTAAAGAGGTGGAAAGTATAACAGCTAAGATGAAAAATACTCTGAATAGAGTTAAAAGTAGATTTCGTGTGTGCTAAGACGCAGTCCTGTACATGGACTGGAGCTTGCCAGGCTCCTCTGTTCATGGGATTCTCTAGGCAAGAATACTGGAGTGGGTTGTCATTTCCTTCTCCAGGGAATCTTCCAAACCCAGGGATTGAACTTAGGTCTCTTACGTCTCCTGCATTGGCAGGTGGGTTCTTTTACCACTAGCACCACTTGGGAAGCCCCTGAAAGTAGATTAGATATTGCAAAAGAAATGATTAGTGACTGTAAAGACAATTAGTTATGAATAGTGAAATAATTTTAGATAAGATGGTGGTTTCCTAATTTCCTTACCACCTTATGCATTTCTTAAGTGGGAACTCTCTCTAAGGACCAGTCGTCTGGACTTGACCTGCTTTCCAGTTTGAGAATCACAGTCTTCAAATTCTGTGGGCACCAAACTTTCCTGGATCTTCTTCCTTGTAACTCTAAAAAATACTACTTAGGATCAAGCTGTTCTTCCACAGTTTATTGTTAATGATTGGTTTGTGTTCTATGTGGTTTCACTGTCTTTAATAACTATTCACATATGTACACTTTTCCTTGGAAATATTAATCATTCCCATAGTTTTAGGCAACACATAAAGCCTAATGACTGTTTACACACATTTGTCCTCAAAGTTTCAGAAAAATATATACAATAGGCCTCTGCACATCGTTAAGAGGACATTCCACAGGCATGTTATATTAACATGTCCAAAATAGAAATAACTAATCATCCCAGTATATTTTCTGTTTTCCTCTCTTTGTTATTTAAGGTAATGGGTAAAATAACAGGCATTACTCAATATTCTCTAGATAGAAACTTCTTGGTCATTCATTGCTACTTCCCAAATTCCCAACATAAAAATGTTCTTCTAGTTTTTATACCCAAGTATATCTTGAAACTATCCTCTTTTCTTTGTACCACTTCCCTGGTTTGTCTCTTCAATATCCCTTATGTGAATTTTATAAGGGTCCTAACTGGTTTGCTGGCCCAATTTTACCTCCTTGAATCACCTTCCATACAACCACCTAAGTGATGCATCATCCCATCCCCTGAGTAAAATCTTCCATGACTCCCCAGTGCCTATGCTCTTGAGGTTGCTTAATGTCATCCCACACCAGTCTTTATATTTATATTCCAAATTCCAGATAAACATCTCTATGTTTCTCTGACAAATCCTGTGATATATGACCTGCATGTTTCATTTACTCTGAACTTTGCATCGATATTAATATCAGCCCCTTTTTTGAGTTGCAATCCTTCTCTTCAATTCAGGTTTCACCCCATGTGACAGGCGCCTCTTGCTTCTCCATACTCTTCTTGTTCATTATGTGTGCCCATAGAAACTTCCGCATATTTTGTTACTGACATTATTACATTATGTAATGCATGTGTTTAAATATGCATTCCCACCAATCTGAAGTAAACAATCATCATTAAATCTTCATGCCTAGCAATGTGCCTGACATACAGTACTAGCTCAATAAATATTGAATTGTTGCCTGTGACAATAAATGATTGTCCTGAAGGTGTGGTGGTGTGGTTTAGTCACTTAGTCATCTCTGACCTTGCAACCCTATGGACTGTAGCCTGCCAGGTTCCTCTGTCCCTGGGATTTCCTAGGCAAGGATATTGGAGTGGGTTGCCATTTCTTTTTTTAGGGGATCTTCCCAACCCAGGGATCGAACCCAAGTCTCCTGCCTTGTAGGCAGATTATTTACCACTGAGCCACCAGGGAAGCCTATCTTGGAGGTACTCAATAAATATTGACTAAATTGATGTCTATAGCAATAAGGAATTATTCTGAAGGAAACATTAGTATAACTATTCCTTAAATGCTTACTGTATATATATTTAATAATTTTGTGTTAATTAAGGCAGTGATATAGAAAGCAAAAATATGTCTTTTTAGAAAGATTTTTTGATGCCTATAGAGGTATGCACATTTTAATATTAAGGTTACTTCTATCAGTAATGCTTTGGAGTTCTATCTTCCCAAGTTTAATTTGGTTTAATAATATGCTGCCATGTATTCCATTTTTACTATTTTATTCTTTTTCATATAAAAAATTATTAGAATCTATGATTGGAGTTGCTTTTATGTATTTTTAGATAATCAACTAGACTTTTCCATTATTCTTTACCAGAGTGAACAACTGAATGCATTTTTATCATCTTGGAAAGTTTTAGAAATGCAATTTCTAAATCAAAATCATTACAACTTTATACATTAGGTTACAAAAAAACAGTATTCCACCAATTAAAAGTTAGCATAACTGACACTGTCTGAATTTCCATACCCTTACTAAATGCCATAAAATGCAATTAAGAACTCCCCAGTATGAAAAAAAAAAACCCTCAACCTGAGTATATGAAACACATATATTATATAAAGTTATTAAAATCAGTAAACTACATTATTTTCTCCATTAAAACAGTTTCATGATAAATTGTTTCTAGCCATAATGACCACTACTATAATCGCTAAAATATTTATTATATATTTGCAATTAGTTCTTTCTCTTAATCCTATCTAAGCCTTTCTTTTCTACATAAAAACAAATAAAAGCAATTTGTTTAAAGTTCTCTGATATTGAAAATCAAAGTAATAAATTACTAAAATGACAAAGAGACACATTTTGTTAAAGCATACAAAATTCCATCCATAAAATTCAGATTGAGAATTGATTACCCAGCTTCTGTTATGTAAGAATCTATGTTGTTTGTCTTCAAGGAACAAAGTATGCACATATGATTTTATATAAATGGATTACATTTTCTCCAGGCAAATCATTTGAATTCAGATAGACCACTATTTAAACATATTACTTGAGAGATGTTACTTAATAAAAGAAAAGGGCATTTTCTCTTTTTAGCACTGCTTTTAGAACTAAAGGGAAACAATCATGTGATTTTTGTGATGCTTATATCAGAATTTTTACATACTCTTTCTAATTTTGCTCAAGTTCTGCCTTTAACATTATGCTCAGGTGCAACAATCTATCCATAGACATGACTGTTCTTTTCTTACCTGAAATGAAGTAATTGGATATATATTAACGTGTGCCTCATTCCATCGTTGTCCTTTGTTCCCACTTGAAGACCACAGTGGATTCTCTATGGTTGTCTGTCCTTTCAAACGTAGATAGACATTTAAAACACCTAAAAATAACAATGTAATTTTATTCTGTGTATTTACTTTGGCTTCATACTTGTTTCTCCTTAACTGAGCACTTGTAAACTTTTAAAAATGAAATCTTATGGAATACTCCAGTGTCTCCTCTTCTCTTCCTCCCTCATTTCCAATCTTGCTCTTAGGATACTTGGCATACATGGTGGGTCTCCAGAGGTGATCACATCCTAATCTCTAGAACTTCTGAATGTTATCTTATATGGCAAAGAGACTTTGCAGGTATGATTAAATTAAGAATTTTGAGTCAGGAAGATTATTTCAAATAATCTCAGTGGGCCCTATGTTTAATCACATATATCTTTTTTTCTAAGACGGAGATTTGATACAGGAGAGAAGGTCATGTGAAAGAGAAGATGCAACACTGCTGGTTTTAAAAATGAATGAAGGAGTCACAAGCTGAATGCAAGCGGCCTTTGGAAGCTAGAGATGACAAAGAGACAGATTCTCCCCTAGATCCTTTAGAAGACAGCAACCCTGCAGACATCTTGATTTGAGCTCCATTATACTCATTTTAAATTTCTGTTCTCTAGAACTTTAAGATAACACGTGTGGTTGTTTTGTCATGAAGTGTGTGGTAGTTTTTGTACAGTGGCAACAGAAAACTAATACAGCATGTAATCATGTGCTGACTATAATGGTCAAAGTTTAATGAATTTTTTATCATCAGTTAACATCAGTCTCAGTTCATTTTCAGTTTACTTTTCATCCAAATCTCTTTTTCCCTAAAAGAATTGTTTCAAGAGAAAATGAAAACAGGTTTTGTCTCATGATTTGATGTATCTCAACAGTCTCATGTCCTGCACATAGTACTAACAGTAATGATGATAATAATAATATGATATGTTGAACACTTCAGGTAAGAAATGAATCCTCTCAACAATTCTGTGAAGTATTTAATACTGTTATCCTCATGTTATAGATAAGAAAACAGAGTGATTCAGTAATTTGCCTTATATCATACAGTAAGAAAATAGCTGAGGTGGAATTTGAACCCATTGAGTTTTAAAATCTGGTATCTTAATGCTAGGCAATCAGTATTTTAATAGACGCAATTTAAAAAGTCAGCTTTATTGAGGTATAATTTACATGCAATAAAATTCATTTTAAATGCACAAGTCAATAATATTTGATCAATATATATTATAGCGTAAGTATCAATTCAGCCAAGATACAGAACATGGCAGGCCTCAGCGTCCCTCACTATCTCCTGGAGTTTTCCTAAGTTCATGTCCATTGAGTCGGTGGTGCTATCCAGACATTTCCTTCTCTGTCTTCCCCTTCTTCTGCCTTCAATCTTTCCCAGCATCAGGGTCTTTTCCAATGAGTCAGCTCTTCACATAAGATGGCCAAAGTATTGGAGCTTCAGCTTCAGCATCAGTCCTTCTGATGAATATTCAGAGCTGATTTCCTTTAGGATTGATTGGTTTGATCTCTTGCAGCCCAAGGGAATCTCAGGAGTCTCCTCATTGAAAGAATTGAAAGCATCAATTCTTCATTGTTCAGCCTTCTTTATGGTCCAATTTCCACATCCATACATGACTACTGGAAAAACCATGGCTTTAACTATACAGACCTTTGCCGGCAAAGTGATGTCCCTGCTTTTTAATACACTGTCTATGTTTGTCAGAGCTTTTCTTCCAAGAAGCAAGTATTTTTTACTTTATGGCTGCAGTCACCATCTGTAGTGATTCTGGAGCCTAAGAAAATAAAGTCTATCACTGTTTCCATTTTTCCCCCATCTATTAACCATGACGTGATGGAACCTGATGCCATGATTTTAGTTTTTTGAATACTGAGTTTTAAGTCAGCTTTTTCACTCTCTTATTTCACCTTCATCAAGAGGCTCTTTAGTTCCTCTTCACTTTCTGCCATTAGGGTGATATCATCTGCATATCTGAGGTGACTGATATTTCTCTTGGCAACCTTGATTCCATGTTGCACTTCATCCAGCCTGCTTTTTTCATGATATCCTCTGCATAGAATTTAAATAAGCAGGGTGACATATACAGCTTTGAAGTACTCCTTTTCCAATTTGGAACCAGTCTGTTCTGTGTTCAGTTCTAACAGCTGCTTCTTGGCCTGCATATGGGTTTCTGAGGAGGCAGGTAAGGTGGTCTGGTATTCCCATCTCTGAGAATTTTCCAGTTTTTTGTGATCCACACAGTCAAAGGCTTTAACATATTCAATGAAGCAGAAGTAGATGTTTTTCTAGAATTCCCTTGCTTTTTCAATGATCCAATGGATCTTGGTAATTTGATCTCTTGTTCCTCTGCCTTTTCTAAATCCAGCCTGTATATCTGGAAGTTTTCAGTTCATGTATTGTTGAAGGCTACCTTGAAGGATTTTGAGCACCACCTTGCTAGTGTGTGAGATGAGCACAGCTTATGTACAATTACATGTTATAAAGTAATTTATCCTTCAGATTTTTAGAGGAATTTTGCCTAATTATTTATTCATGAGACCACCTGTATTCATATTATACACAAATGAATAAATATGAATACCTAATTTTTAAACAATAAAAAAATTGCATTTTTTACATCGTAACTTTCACTTTCTAACTAGATGAGCTTGATATGGTCTCTTAATCTCTCTGCCTTAATTTCCTCATCTGGCAAATGATGATGATGAGAGTAACTAGCATAAGTTTTTTGTGGAAATTGAAATTATAGTATGTAAACCATAAATTGTCTCAAACATTATCTTCAGTATATTTTATCTATCGAGATATCAAATACTACCTCTTTATTTCTCTTTCAATGCAATAGATTACATCAGTATACATTTCTTAATGTTGAACTATGAGTATACTAGAGGAATAACTTGGTAATAGACTACTATTTTCTTATTAGGTTTGATTCAATTTGCTAGTAAGGTATTTAGAAGTAATGCATCTATATTTATTCATTTCTTTCTTGTTTTATCTTTCCACGTTGCATGTTCACTTTTTGCTTCAGAATCTATCATCTTCTATCTTTTTCCATCAGTGTGAGAAATAATCTCAGGCTTGTCTTTCATAGTACAGTACTGATTCATTTTCCACAATTTGGATTCTATCCTTCTGCTCCTAATATCATCTTGATCCAGCTGTATTATTTCTGATGTTACATTCTTTTCTGATCTTATCAAATTCCCCTTTATTTTGGTCATTTATCTAATTCCTTCTTTTCTTGTTTCACTGTTGTATCATTCTTATCTTTTTTTGTTTCATACAGTTCATTTTATACTTTCTTGAAAATATAAATTGTCAGTAATTCTTCTTTGACAATATGTGCTTATTTTACTGTGTACATGTTAGCCTCTTTTTATACTGTGGGATCAAGCCTGATTTTCTCTCTCTTTCTCTCTTTTTATCTTCTTCCTCTTTATTCTTTTTAAATAGTTCTAAGTAATCCTGTGGCATTTTCCCTAAAACCACTAATGGGACTTCTTTTATATGGACAGCATGGGTGTGGATTGTTAGCTCCTCCTCTAAAATTTAAAGCTATAGGCCAGGTGCATGTGAGGTTTCACTACTATATAATGACTCAACAATCGAGAATAAATGGAAAAGCATTTGTACTGTTGAGCCTTTTAAGAGTAGAACTTTCTGGGTTTTTTTCCCTATACTTGGTGAGCTATTGTAACAGGGAGTAGCTTTCTAAATTCATCTTTGCAAAAATAAACAAATGGGACCTAATGAAACTTAAAAGCTTTTGCACAACAAAGGAAACTATAAGCAAGGTGAAAAGACAGCTCTCAGAATGGGAGAAAATAATAGCAAATGAAGCAACAGACAAAGGATTAATCTCAAAAATATACAAGCAACTCCTCCAGCTCAACTCCAGAAAAATAAATGACCCAATCAAAAAATGGGCCAAAGAACTAAACAGACATTTCTCCAAGGAAGACATACAGATGGCTAACAAACACATGAAAAGATGCTCAACATCACTCATTATCAGAGAAATGCAAATCAAAACCACAATGAGGTACCATTACACGCCAGTCAGGATGGCTGCTATCCAAAAGTCTACAAGCAATAAATGCTGGAGAGGGTGTGGAGAAAAGGGAACCCTCTTACACTGTTGGTGGGAATGCAAACTAGTACAGCCACTATGGAAAACAGTGTGGAGATTTCTTAAAAAGCTGGAAATAGAACTGCCATATGACCCAGCAATCCCACTTCTGGGCATACACACCGAGGAAACCAGATCTGAAAGAGACACGTGCACCCCAATGTTCATCGCAGCACTGTTTATAATAGCCAGGACATGGAAGCAACCTAGATGCCCATCAGCAGACGAATGGATGAGGAAGCTGTGGTACATATACACCATGGAATATTACTCAGCCATTAAAAAGAATTCATTTGAATCAGTTCTAATGAGATGGATGAAACTGGAGCCCATTATACAGAGTGAAGTAAGCCAGAAAGATAAAGACCATTACAGTATACTAACACATATATATGGAATTTAGAAAGATGGTAATGATAACCCTATATGCAAAACAGAAAAAAGAGACACAGATGTACGTAACAGACTTTTGGACTCTGTGGGAGAAGGCAAGGGTGGGATGTTTTGAGAGAACAGCATCGAAACATGTATATTATCAAGGATGAAACAGATCACCAGCCCCGGTTGGATGCATTAGACAAGTGCTCGGGCCTGGTGCACTGGGAAGACCCAGAGGGATCGGGTGGAGAGGGAGGTAGGAGGGGGGATCGGGATGGGGAATACATGTAACTCCATGACTGATTCATGTCAATGTACGACAAAACCCATTACAATATTGTAAAGTAATTAGCCTCCAACTAATACAAATAAATGAAAAAAAAAACAACTAAATTCATCTTCGCTCGACTCTCAGTGGGGCTCAGTTTTTCTTGCTGGCTGTTGGTGGTCGCTGGTGCATCAGATATGCAGTCTTATGCAGAAAGGTGAAGTCACCACAGCACATACTTCTGTGCATTCTATTTTTAAACATG